AAGATTATAATAACACATTAAAACATACTTAATTGATTTTATCTGTCTAAATATATAGAGCAATGTACTACAAAGAAAAAACAACCGAAGCTATTTTATGCATCTAACCAAAAAAATACTCAATCCGAGGACCTTAAGAGGACTCTCCTTAGACATTTGTTGTCTCCGTCTTACAAGTGCGTAACATAGCAAATTTAATAGAAGATCACTTTAGCTTGAAAATTGGAGCAAATTTACTTCTTATAAAATTTAAAGGTTAGATTATTATTTAGGGCATAGCTTAGGCTTTATATTATATTTTAATTTTAATGCGAATTATGAGTATTTTAAAATTGTGAATTGCTTGTACACCTTAATATACCCATAACTCGTTTTAAAATTAAAATAACATAAAAATTTTATGTTATGCCCTAGATAATAGTCTCATAATTACATTTTATAAAAAGTCAATTCACTCAAAGTCTTAAGCCAACAGAGCTAAACGTGATCTGCTGAGAGTAAGATTTGCTATGTTACGCAATAGTTATAAAACGAAGACAAAAAATGTCTGCGTGACGTCATTTTAATCTTGTATATCTTCTCAGCAAACGATAGTTTATGGAAATAACTTCGTAAAAACAATCAATGTTGGGATGAGATGACTGAGTATTTAAATGTGTAAGTATTAAATCACCTATATCAATTAACTTTCATATTCTGTGCTTATTCCGAGATAACTATAATATACAACTTTGACAATTGATACTATTAATCAAGGTAGGTATTCACTGAGATCTTCTGATTCAAATTTTCAATAGAAACTGACGTAAGTATCCTTTACTTGTGGGTAAATCTTTAATAGCTAACTCATGTCAGTGTCAAAAAATCAAGCCTGCGCAAGTTAATGATAATTTTAAACTGAGTTAAGTTGATAGAAAACATTTTAAAAAGTTTGAAGTTAATAGTTATCCTAATTATTTAAACTTATTTAAGTTAAAAGTTATTTGAAAACTTAAAATTAATTTATTAACTTAAGTTAGGTTATTTATTTATTATTTTTTTTTTTAATATATAAGAAGCTAATTATATAGTTTAAGACACTAAAAAGTAAATGTTTATGCAACATATATCATCAATAATAATTTTATTATATTTATTATTTAATTATTTATAAATTAACGAAATTAGATTTGATTAAAAGTAACTCGTTATTTAATAAGTTTATATCGATAAAAATCAGTCATGTTAAAAATTAAGTTAATGAAAATTAAATTTCAAAAAGTTAAAATTAACTAAACTATAACTTTTCAACTCGTTTATGCAAAAAAGTACCAAAATCTATCAAGTATACAAATCATCTTAGACAAAATTACATTACTATAGTTAGTGTCAACTTGTTGTTTCATATTCACATAGATTTCAAGATCAAAAGACAATGACAATTGTCAATCATTAGACAAGATAATTGCAGACACTAGAAGCCATTATAATATGATTGAGGAAATTTATTTCTATCTTATACAATTATGAATTTATACTTATTAATTTTATAAATTAGAAATATATTACCTCAATAGTATGGCTTACTCGTATTCAAAAAGTTGATTTGGAAAAAAAAGTCATGAGAAAAAAATCTTGTTGTATAAATAACACATATATAAATATAATTCCTGTTAAGCAGAGGAGCAAATAGGGGACTACCTCGAAAATATCTCATAGTTCCCTCAAAAAATAAGAATAAAATACATCTATTTATTTTTTAACCGCGAAACCATGACATTTTTCCTATTTGCGCCACTGCTTTTAGTATAAGTGCTATGAATCTACGTTAAATTAACATCATTCGACTTTATTCTTGTATTCATATAATATGATTGTTCTTGGTATAATTGTCGATTGGACCAATGGTTGTTAGCCTCAATTAGGGAAGTGCTTTGGGGATATAACTATGCAAACTGCTTGATTCGGCTTACATTTACAGTTCCCACCATTTGATAGATCCCGTTTAACTAATACTAATTTTTGAAAGAGAACCGCAAACTTCACACCAAAGGTCAAATGTTTTCGGGAAAAACCAAAAATTTGTCTGCTTACTTGGCGTGATATTAACCTCACTTTTACAAATATTCGTACAACCTAGTTAAACAAAAGGGTCTTTCCAACAATGTCTACCAGTTCGTAATAAACAGTTATAGATGGTTTTTAAAGTGATCGATTAATTAGTGTTGTTCATTGGTTTAAAATCAGCTGCAGTTTTTGAAAATTCTTCATAGCTTTTAAACGTCTACAAATTGTTTAAACGTAACTCATAAGTCAACAAACATAATACTAGAATTGTAAATTTTTCAATTAAATCTTAGTAATATAAATTCAATATATTAACAGTTTTGGTGTGCAATGGTACATGGTTTTTTCTTAAATTCTAATGGATGCTAGGTACCAATTTCCGCCAAAATAATATTGACCGTTTTCGACGCAGCACTTTTTCACCAAACACGAAGAAGGTACGATTAACCATTCCGCCGAAAAAAGTTTGAAAACCTCTGATTTCAATTTTTAAGCAATATATGTAGTGGTATAACATAATATAGTAATGTAAGTAATGTAACATTGTAACACGTAATAACAATGACATTTTGTAAACGATTGCGAAGGCCAAAGACCATAGGTACAACAATATATACAGTGATAATCGTCGACAATAAAGTATGGTAAGTATGACTATTATATTTCGGAAAATTATATTAATGAAAATTCAAAATTTCTAGCAATAACAATCACTACAGAACGGACTTTAATGTAATAAAAAAATCATATGTACATTGTATATATATACATACGTAATTATTTTTGTCAAAATATGTAAAAAAATATTAATAATATGTAAATATCGAAAAATGCATTTAATTTAGCATTAAAAATTACAAAAAAAATATTTTATAAATAAAAGTAATACTAATAATGTAGGCTTGTAAAACTATGAGTATTATTCCAGAACAAAGCAATGAGAAACAACATATTGTTGAAGGTTTCAAATGCAAAATGACTACCTAACCTTTTAAATTGATATTTTGCATCAGTGAATTTGCTTTTTCAATAGCTACTGGCTGATTCAGTATCGAAATTTGAAATAACATTTTTTTTGTCACAGTGATCGCAATAGTATTAGACGGCTTCAAGTAAGCCACACACCCCATCTTGCTATAACAGGTTCAGGAGGTGAATTAAGATCTGTATACATTTCTTTAAATTTTGAAACACGGCTTGTCGGTTTTAAAAATATTTTTTTAATGGTCGCTATTAATTGATCAACTTCGGAATAATTATATCTTATTGTTTCTAAAACACGATGAAAGCCATGCATTAAACATGTCAAATGAACCAGTTTAGGAAAAAATACTGTCAAAATACTATCGGTATACATAATGTTAGTCGTCGAAAATCAATGAAAAAATGAAAAATTACTGAAATATGTAAAAATATTTATTTATACCAAAATATGTAAAAATATATAAATTTATTTCAATTAGAATGATCTAAATCGTACACATTTTTTATTAGACTTAAAATATCTTATTCCAATAAAAATATATATTTCTTATAAAATCCGTTCCCTAGTAATAACCAATAATAAATAATAATTTCTAATTTAAACGCCTATGACAGTATATACCTAGAAGTATCTTAAATTCCCATTTCCCGTAAAGAGGAAGCTATACACGGACATTTGTTGTTTCCTTTTTTCGAGTGCGTAACATAGAAACATTTTACGCTCAGTAGATCACGTTTACATTAGTTTAAAAATAAGGGTAAATTGACCTCTGATGAAATTTAAATGTAAAATTATTATCTAGGTCCTAGATTCCGGGGCATCTCGCATACTATTTTTGTATTAAATTTTAATTTTAAAACGATTTATGAATATTTTAAAATGTACAAATAATTTATAAATTTAAAATATTTATTTATTTACTCATATTATATATATATGTATGAGGAATATACATTTTCCACCCCTCCACTTATTTTGTACCCATGACTGTTTAAGCTGTATATAATGAGAACTATATGAATTATGAAAGGCATCCCTCCACTTATTTTGAGCCACTTCGGCCGCTGCTTACGACCTTAATATATTGTGAAAATTGAATAGGAACTTAAGTTCAAGGCGACGTATGGCAGGAATTATTAGATTTTAGATTCTTCAGTGACTACTCTAATTTGATAGAAATTACCACAGTTATTAAACCTGAAATAGGTACAACAGTGGTTACTAAAAATTCAGATGTAATAATTTATATACCTAATTGATAGGAAAAGAAAACCAATTTTAAATGGCATTTCTATTTTATAAACTGAATTACTTCTATTTAGATGTACTATTAATACTTGATACTTGAATAGACAAATTGTTTCTAAAACAAATACCTGCAGGCCGTAAAGCCACAGGTGGTGTACTTGCATACCCCGCACCACCTGAGCACGCGTCTATGCCGTGGTTTCGACAGACGACAGTCAATTGGGGCTGTACATAAGTTTTCATCAGTAAGTCTTGAAATTGTATAGGTATTTGTATAATATTTATAATTTTAATTGCATGGACATAAAATCAAATCGAGGAACAAAATGACAATTAAATACAAATTGACTAGATCTGCCGTGCGTATCGGGTGTGCGTCCTCCCTCGCGGACGGGGATAGTACCATGAAGCAAACGGTGGTTAATAAGTAATTAATAACCACTGCCCGATGGTTATGTTATCCGATTGCGTACGGCACGACGCAGAAAAGATCTTCTATCGCAAGTACGAGAACCACTGACATCTGAACACTATGACATTTACGTCACTGCGCATTGTGACGCACTTTTACATAATATATTATCATCTCGGTCTTATCACCGTGAGCGAATCGTGTTATCATTGTATCACTGTTTCTGAATAACCTTACGTCGCGGGCATTATTAAATAATGGCAATATCATTATCATTTATCACGAAAGCTTACTAAAAAAAAAAATCAACGAGCCCAACCGACTAAAAAACACCATTGTAGCATATTGCGGTTCGCCGGGAGGCCCGGGAATGGGTAGACTATTTTGCGTTCTAAGAATGTTTTTATTGCTCTTCATGTCGTCGTTCCCTGATAATGACGATTGTTCCGAGTCCACCGAACGTGCGCTTCGATTATTATTATAACGACCAATAATTACACCGACGTCCAATTACGCGTAGATTGCCTCACAGTGCTATGGAATATTAATATCCTCTTTATCTAATAATAATAACATATTATTATTGTAATATTATTTATCTGTGATAAAAATCTGGCCGCAGCTGATTTCTCAATAAATTTTGAATGTACCAAATAGTTGATAGTAATATTTGTTACTTGAGTAGTGCTGTAGTGGGTCCTACGCCTACCTACCTACCGGGGAGACGTTGCGAAACCATGGACAAGACTCAAAATAGTAAGTTGAACTTCCGTCATTGAACAATCTGTCGAATCGGAAACCCCGCTTCGAATGACACAACAGCCTGACAGGTGTCGGCTGGACGACAAGAGCACGAGTAAGGTCTGCATCATTGATTACTGAGATTTATCACAATATTATAAGTGTATGTTAAGAATACTATCTTTACTCTTTAGATTTATTGATGTTCAATGACCAACGTCTACAGCATGGACGATGAAGCAGATCTTGGAGAGTCGTTGACTTCAAACCAAGATTGTTCGCCAAACAGCTCATCCAGTTTGTCCAAATCTGATGTGATGTCTGGGAATCAAATGATTGATAATTGGTGTAAGTTTTATTTGTTGATTTCCCAGCAAAAAGTAACTATTGTCGTAAGCTAATAGCTGTAAATAATATACCTAACTATGCTAAATTGTATTTGCTTACACTAATGAAATAGGTATTTATAGAACTTTGTTTAATCCAACATTTAAATAATATATATTTTCAGTAGGTCTAAGTGTACATTGCACAACTTCTATTGAAGATTTTTGTGATGGAGATTTGGAACCACCTGACACAGATCCATCACCATCAACATCTGGACTGTCATATGATTTAACAGCATTTCCAAAAACAACATCAGCAATGACTATGTTTTATCCACACTTAAATGGTTATGACATTCATCCATTGCTTTTGAACCAAAGGAGACGGAATCAAATGGAATCGTCATTTATAGATCCATTGAATTTACCGCCACATCCTCTTATGCCAGATGTTCCACGTCAAATGATTAATAAAAATAAGGCTAGTATTTGTAAAAGTTATCTTTAAATTTTAATAAATATGAAATATGAATAAATAAAACATTAAATTAATATAAGTCATAAATTACCTAAGTATGTAGTTTTAAAATAAGTGAATCAACTTAATATTTATTTTTTATTATAAAGTATATTTCTGATGGTTTTGCTTTTAGAATTCATACATTTTCTGACTGAACTTTAGAAACAACTTTCACATCATCTATGCCAAAATTACTCCAATTCGGTGATGGTTGGCGCAATATCAATTTTATTTTGTACAAATCTGACCAATCTATTTCACTTTCTGACGATTTAATGCATACACAGTCTTGCGCTTGAAATTCTGTATGAGCATTATCCATTAATTTCTAAAATTTGTGAAAATGAAATAGAATTTTTCTTTTTTATGATTGCTAAATATGTGCACAACCTTTTGTCTTATAGCTATGTACCATTTTTTTAATCTTTTCGAATCAGTATTTGATATTTTCATAACTAAAATTGAAATTATATATGTATAGTAATTTTTAAAGTATATTTCACCAATATCTTGTGGGGTAGAACCAAAGTCTAATATCATCGCAGTACATTTAGGATTATAATCTGGATTTTTCTGGTCATTAATGTTTAAATAAATTGGTATTACAGTAGCTCCAAATTCAATAGAATTATGATTATTCTCTGCTGATGAACTCACTATACTCAAATTGGAATTTAGTTCATAAAAATAATTTTCCATGTTTTTAAATGTTTATTTCTATAAACACTAGACTGTTGTTTATACATTATGCATAGCAATAAGTATTAAATAATAATATTTTATTACTAATAGTATGTACCAGCATAAAACAGATTAATGAATTATTTTCTATTTATTAGGTACGTCCAAAAGTATCTCATAGACGATCAGATTTTACAAATACCCAGTCATCAAATTTTGAACAACCTTTAATTGTTGATACAGAAAAATATCATCGCAAGTCGTTCTATTGTGTGGCATGTAGTAAAACGTTTAAATTCCAAACATCGTTGTTGCGACACAATAACAAAGTGCACATTAGTAAGTACCAGTGTCAATCATGCCATCGTGTATTTTCAAGGCAGGCATATCTTGACGTGCACACATCTAAACAGGGAAGTTCATGTTACCTGGGTAATGGATATGCCATTGCAAAGTCAAAAAAATAATTGTTTTCTTTGAGGAAAAAGTTATAAAGTTTAACCAAAAATAATATAATACTTATATATATATATTTTACATAATATACAATAGGTACTTATAGGGTAGAGTAAGTTCAAATCTTCACTTGTGAAGTGTGCCACAGAAATAAATGAAATATTTCTTATGAGCACTGTTTATTATTTGTTATATTTATTGTTTATAGTTTATATTTATTTAAAAATTACATAATAATCACGAAACATTTATTCTAGTCAGAGAACAGCCCATTCTAGTCTGTTCAGTAGTTCATCCATGCTAGCATTAAAACATTTGTAACCATTTGTTATTACTCTGGTAATGATTGTATGTCAAGAAAAATAATATTTAGTCTAATAATTATAACTTAAAACAAAGTGCATGTTTCAGTCACTTAACATATTTATATATTATATAAAAATATAAAATATTTATAATTCATTAAATTGTGCTCTGTACGGAAATTTCAAACATATTGTATTGCAATATTTGTAAGATTCTAACTATACTATAGGGAAGTTTAGACTGAATATTTTTGAATTTACAAAAAAAAAACAAAAATTATCCACCTGTGTAGTGTGGTAATATATTTATTAATTATTTTGCACTACATACCTTACTTTTATATGTATAAAAATGGTAATAAACCAAAATTGATAAATCATTCATTCCTTCATACCAAAATAAGCCATTATTGATACCAAAAAAACATTCATAGACGAGCTTACTATAATTTCCTAAGAAAGTTAAAATTTTTACACTGTCAAAATAAAAAATTTATTTTTCTACTTTTTAATTATTTTTATTACTGCATATTGTTAATTAGTCATTAAGTGTTAAATACTAATCATAACCTGTGATTTAAAAAGAAATGTTTGTTATTCACCAATTGTTGAAAAACTGTAATTTGTATAACTTATTTATAGTTATTATTGAATACTACGAAAAGACATAATCAATTAATTTTTATATAAATTTAATTTTATTGTAATAATTTACAAACAAAAATCAATTTTTATGTATCCTATACATATAAACCATTATATTATGTTTAAAACTATTTTATAGTTTATCTAGAAATAAATGAAAATGAAATGTTTGATTGTTTTTATTTTGTTATTGACTTGGGAAAATTTTAAGATTAATATTTTTTTTTTGTTACTTTTTAACATAATGTTATAATACATGTTATTGTATAACTATTATTGTTTTATTATTATTATTATTATTATTATTATTATTATTATTATGTTATTAAATATTTAAATATTTAAATTTACGTAATACTCTATTTATTATTGCCTACTTATGGTTGGTTATAGCAGGCTTTAATTTGCAATTTGTTCATCATATTTTAATTTTTTTTAAATAATCCAAGTAAACATTTTTGAAGATGTAGCAAACAAATAACATACTGCAAATTGAATGTGGGAACTAAAATCTAATGGCAATTAATAATTCTGTGACAAATATTATACACTAACTAACCATTATTTTTTATTTGTGTTTAAGACAATTTATTATTAATAAACCAATTGTAATAGTTATTTATAAAGTAATATTCTTCTACATTGTAGATCAGGGGTAGCCAACCCAAATGATCTTGCGGGCCACATACAAAATTATAAAAGTATTTTGCCCCAATACAAAAAAAATGGAGTAAACATTATAAACAAAATTAATTATTATAAAATAAGTTTTGGTGTATTAGTTATTTAAAATAAACAGAATGAATTATTATTGTTTTTACTATGACTCATAATTTATTAACATGGATAATATATATTACATATAATAATTTCAATTTATTGATTTTACTATTTAGTGAGATATTTGTTTTTCAACTCATTCACTAAGCTTTTTTAAATCAACAGAAATGCTTGTATTTGCACACCGTAATTGATGTTGCAGGTTTTCATCTGTTAGGTTTGAGCATGATTTGTCTTTGGCAAATTTCATTTTCGAAAAAAACGATTCACAAGTGTAAGTCGATCCAAAAGCACTCACAACTTTTTATGCCAGATTTCTCTAATTGGGAAATTTTTCTTTTGTTATATTAATATTATAAAAATCTTTTTTTGATTTTGATGTTTCAAATATGTGTTTTAATTCATTATTGCATTATTGTTAATGAGTTCCATTTAAAGATATTCTGGGGCATAAAAAGGAGATGAATATTTTCAAATATTGTCTTGTGTTTGTCTAAATTAGTGAAACGACTTTCGGCGCAAAAACATAATTTTTTTTTTGTAAATATTTGATAAATGTTGCGGGCCGCAAAACTTTCCAAGCCGGGCCGCGGGTCGGCCATCCCTGTTGTAGATGCTAAACTGTTCATTATAATTTCTAACTATTTTAAAACTGCATTTATGGGTAGCAAATATTTAATAGCTAAGTGAAATTTGAAAAAAAAATAAAAGTTCATTGTAACATTTGAATCCAAACTTTGACCTATTTAAAAGCTTTTTAAAAATACTACATTAATATTAAATTACAATTATATTTTTAATACTTAATCATAATATAAATTAAACACTATAGTCGTATACATAATTGCATGACTTCTGAAATATTAAAAACAATGGTCTTATAATATTAATATAGAATTATTTAACAAGAATATTATTTTTAAATTCTAGATGCTAGTTTGATAAATAATGTTGATAGGTACAGGCTAGGTTAATATGGTATAGTTAATATAAAAATAAAAATATGTTTAATTTTAAACATTTAATAATAATAACAAACAATATTTAACTCAGTTCTAATGCATTTTTGGATCATAAAATTATCCACTAATCTTATCAAACATAGTAGTTATTATTATTATTAGCCTGGTGTGGTGAAGTGATGTGCCGCATTCAAGCATTGTACATTGTCGCCGGAGTTCTTGCAACGAATCTTTGCGCCTCATAAAAATACGTATCTCAACCACTTCCCCCCTCCCCCCAATGAGGCTTGGTTTACCAAAAAAAAAAACTATTAGTATTTCTGGTATACAATTTTTTACTTATCTCATATCTGATATTATAATATATTGACATGTGCATATTATAATAAACAAATTTGTTAATCAAGTTGGTTTACAGTTGTTCAATTGTAATGTAGTTAATTGGCGAAGAAAAACATAATGAAATGTACTAATTCTTAGTAGGTATCAAAGTGACTTAAAAATTATATATTGTTTCAATAAGCTGGTTGTTTTTTCATTCTTTTAAGTATACCAAAATAACCGAATATGTTTGCTAACAAACAAAATGTAAGTAATATCATTATGTCAAAATATAAATCACTGCTTACAAAACCGTATTTATTTAAAACTGCTTTTCCGTTGTCCAAACAATTAGCAGCATCAGTGCATGCTATAAAAATTAAAAATAAATTAAATATTTAAATAGCCTGATTTTAGTTTTCTACAGTGGCATATTTACATGAAAATTGGTAAATTCACATAGCCCCCCCCCCTCTTAATTATTGTAAAAGTTTATTAATGTTCCTACATCTAAAACTTTACAATTTTATTTAAAATAAAAATTGTTATCAAGATTAACTTAATAATGTTGAATAAAATGCTAAGCCTCGTAAGGCCTTTAAAGCCATAAAATACGCCACTAGATCTCTAATTTTATTAACAATTAAATATGCTTACGTAATGTTTTAATTCTCTCCCAAAACAGAGAAGAGACTGTTTCACAACCAAGGAAAAATAATGACAGATATCTTAGTGAGTATAACACTTTTGGTAATGACCTGATAACATACAAAGATATTTAGTAAAATAGTAACACTTTCAATAAAATATACCAGGGGCTGCTCCAGGAGTGCCTAGGGGCCACCCCCAAGTTTGTATTTCTAAAGAATTGTATATTGTTAAAAATAAAATCACAAAAAAAACATATAAGTATAGACGGTATAGTATCAAGTTTTCTGAAAATTATGTCTTAGAATCCCCCGCCCCCACCACCACCACAAACCAAGTATCTGGAGCAGCCCCTGAACTATGCTTTAACACAACTTACCTGAATGACAGATAAGCACCACTAAGAGGCAATGCTAAGTACTCATAAACTGTTGAAAATACAACAGCTTCTTCAACGCGGCTAAAGTATGCTGACAACAGACTTCCTGAAATAATAATAATATTGCTATTAATGTGTACACCTTACTTAATGTTAAATAATGATGGAATTATTAATTTAATTTAATTACCATATGAAACCGATGCAAATGTCACTATCATAAATACAAATAATTGCATATAAACCCAATTGACACCAACAATCCAAAACACAACAATGCAGAAGAGTATTGTCTTTATAAATACCCAAACATACTATAAAATAAACACAATTGTATCACTATTTAATGCAAGATATAAATTATTCATATTGCATACTAATATAATTAATTCAGACACAAAGTATGCACTCAAGGAGTATACTTTATTGCTTACTTCTCGGTGTACAACTGAAAACTTTATTTGATGTGTGGCGATGGCCGAATAACTGAATTGGAACACAGTGTTAATGACTAAGCATAACCAAAATCCTTGCCAATTTTGAACAGCTTTTGTATCGAATTGTAAGTTTGCATACGGACTAGAAGTAATAACACCTAAAAACTATAATGTAAACATCAATTGGTTTACATATTCTGTATTTATATAAGTAAGCAGTATACTATTAAATGTTAGTATTTAAATTTCACCATTAACGTTCCAAATTCCAATAACTTTTCCTTGTAATTTCTTATGAAACAAGTGATAGATCTATACAGCAGAAGCAATACTTGAATTATCCAGCTAAGCTTTTCTCTAAAATCCAAAAAAAAAACCTCAAAAACTTTCACTAAAATTTCAAAACAGAGACTTACGCTTGTAAATGATGTCCATATTCTGACTGAACCTAAAGTTGCAATTTCTATTATGAATTAAGTTTAATACCAAGGCTCAAAAGTTGATGAGACAAAAACATTGAATAATGTCCTAAAAAAACGTTCTTTACATATTATAGAACACACAAATATCCTTAAGTGGACGTTATACCAGCATGTGTTGTCTCCGTCTAACCTATCCATATTTTAAGCTCAGATGATCACGTTTAGCTTTGTCATTTTAAAAATTAGAATGCATTGATCTCTTATTTAAACTAAAGGCAGGATTATAATGGAGGGCACTTTGTGGGCTTTTTGTTATATTTTAATTTTATGTTATGAGTATTTTAAATTTGTAAATTGTTTGTGCATCTTAAAATACTCATAACTCGTTAAAAAATATTAAAATATAATAAAAAGTCCATGAGATGCCCTTCTGAACGTAAGATTTGATGTTACGCTCTTGTAAGATATAGACGATACATGCGGTTGTAACGTCCTCTTAAGGTTTGGGATACCGAAGTACCTACACATGAGTAAAGTTAGTATATAAGACTAAACATGTTTACTTATAGTTTTTCGAAGTATTGCATTTAATGAGTGATTTATAAATTCCTGATTTTTTTCTCAATAAGTGGAAAATAGATTAAAATTATCCGAAAATGCAAAAATTACCAAAAATACCTTAAAAATTACAAAACAATATAGTGAAATTTGCTATTCAGTGTTACAAGTTATTGAAAAAGATTTTTAGAAATTGTTTTGAACTAATAGATGTTCTAAAAGACAATAATTAATGTCATCAACTTCTGAGCTGTTTATTACAAATAACTAATCTAACATACATCCTTATTGAATGAATTAAACTTAATGTCCATTTGCGCCACATTTGAAGATAGTTCACACATTTTGTTGACATTGCTTCTGTCCAACACACTATCTGAATTCAAAACTGATACAATAAAATCAGCTTTGTTATAGGTGGCAGGGCAAATGTAACCATACCTAATAATTATTTAAAATAATTAATTCATCTAAAACTGATTGAATAAAAATTATATTAAGGTTATACTTCTGAAAAAAATTATTGACCAAAGATACTGATCCTTGATAAGCTAATTGACCATTTGTTAAAAGTATGACCTCTTGAAACTGATCAAACAAACCAGATGCAGGTTGGTGTATTGTGCAAATGACAATTTTTCCGCTATGTGCTACTCTTCTTAATGTGTTTACTATGTGTGCAGCAGAGTAACTATCTAATCCTGTAGTTATTTCATCACAAAATAGGATTGGTGGATCATTTATAAGTTGAACAGCTAGAGCTACTTTTTTTCGTTCCCCGCCAGATAGAAAACACAAGCGTGAGTTTAGAATTTTATTCAAACCTAAATGACCTGCAAGATAATCTATGCGGTCTTTGATTACTTTGTTAGATGTGGTCCGATCCATTTTTAATCTAGCCTGTGAAAATATATTACTTCAATAATGTATCTTATTGCATTTATTATTATTATTATAAGTTTGATAAGTACATAAAAATACCCACCATCAACTTAAGTTGTTCCAAAACAGTTAGTTGAACGAAACTTATATCTTCCTGAGCAACAAACCCAGATATTTTTATCATGACATCTTCAGATACTGGACGCCCATTCAATAAAAGTTCTCCATCAAAGTTTCCTTTAATAATAATATTTGCAATAGATGTTGTTTGTATAAATAACCAAGCTATTAGTGGCTTACATGTAAATGACTTATACTATACCATTACAATAATTGATTTTCAACATTTGAATTAAAAATATTATTTGATTAAAACCATCAAGTATTTTATGATAAAAAATAGTCTTTATTCTTTTGAAAGTATTTAATAGTTATTAGTTTATAAACAAACATTTGCATTCAGTGTAAAACATATTATTGGTAATTGGAAATACAATATATTAAAAAAAAATGAAATAATGTAAATATGTAACCTAACCTATATATAATAAAAAATCAGGCAAGTGGGTACCCATGTGCCGAACAGTAGGTGTTGAGTGTGTCACCATCATGTATGTGTTAAATTAGAATTCAATGATATATCTATCATTTTCTGAGAAAAATGATTCTGAATGGAGATGGTCTGTCAGCCTATGTCAAGCATATTTCATACCTTCGTGGCTTAGTGGTATGTATTTTGATATTGCCATTAAAGTGAATTTCAAAAGAGAACACTTCTCTACTGTTCTTATTCAACTATAAATTATACAGTAGATCATTTTTCTGACATTTTTTAAGAACCAAATCCAACATTTGAAGAGTAGTTTTTGAGTTATTTAACTTTGAGTTCTAAGGATAATATTTAAATAGTAATGAAGGTATAAGATATGAGGGGGGCTATGGTAATTTAAAAATTGTAGTCATTAATATTAATAATTTGTAAAAATTGCCCAAGTATAATAAATACTATAGATCCAATTTTATATCTATTTTATATTTATGTAAAACCAGTTTTAAGGACTATTATCCTTAATAACCGAAGAGAAAAGATACAATTTAGTTGAGAATTAAAGCATTATTTTGACTATGTATTGTGTAGACCATTATTTTGGAATTCTGGTTACAATTTACATTTTTGTGAACAATATCTACTCCACGGATTTTTAATTAATTCTTATTTTTCTCTTATGTGGACTACCAGTTAACCTTTTGTTCGATGACTTATTGTAGCCATTAGTGTAGTCTTTCCTGAACCGCTAGATTAAATAGAATAAAATAAAAACCCATGTTAATACAAGCTTAATGTTTAAAATTATTATTTATAATTACCAACCTTGGACCCATAATTCCTAAAAGAGTTCCACATTCGACATTACCTCTAACTGAAAATATGAATATTTCATTAATTATTAATATCATAAAATACTGAATAAGTAACCATGTTAAAATATTAACTGTAATATTTTAAAAATATACCTTTCAGAAATAAAGTATTTAAAATATGTTTGTTTACTCATGGATTAGATAATTGAACTGGTTTGAATATTATGTCAACCATTTAATTTTTAACTTTAATTATTTTAATTAGTAATATTGTAGTTGCTTAATTCAAATGGATTATTTATTGTGTTTTCTAGCAAGGCTGGGTAAGTTAACTATTTTTTTTAACTCATTGAGTTAAGTTAATATAGATTACAGAAAAATATTAGTTAAGTTAGTAAAGAGTTACTTTTATTTTTTTATAAACTTGTTAAAGTTACAAACTACCTAGAAAAGTTAAAACTCGGTTACTTTTTTTTCAAATACAATTAAAGGCTGTACCTTTTTGAAAGCTAAAAAATAACATGGTAATTTAATAGAGGACTTACAGTTGTAAGTAAATTTATATTAAAATTAATCAAAAACTTAAGTAAAATTATTTGTAAGTATTTGTTAACCGAATCCTAATGGTCCATAATAATAAGTAATAGCTATTAATTATATAGATTAATAAGTGTACAAAAGTGTATGTGATGCTGAGCAAATAGTTATATTTTTCTTTTCTCAATGACATAATTATCTATATCACTTCTTTGTTATAATATATTCTGTGAATATTCAATATTTTAACCATTATTATAAATTTGTATTTATGACATTTTATATTAATAAATAATGTTTGATATTTCTGATTATTATTTTTTTTTTATAAAATTAATTTTTACAAAATAAAATATACTTTAAATATATGATTTTAGGAAAAAAATTTACTTGACTTTTTAATACGTTAATGCCTAGTCTTTTGTTTTAGTATTAAATTATGCATTAAATTGCTTTGTTTTTATTATATTACAGGCTGATAACTAGTTTATTTGAATATTTTATCTATTAATAAATAATAATCATGAGGCAGTACCAAGTAGTTAGTATGAGAGTTAAAAGTTTAAGACTTTCCACAAACATTAAGGACAGGATAATAAAATCATCAAAAAAAAACTTGAATTGAATTTAAGGTTATTTTGAAGTTTTATTGTATGAATGAAGTTTTATCGATTACCAAAATCGCAATTATTATACAATAGACAATAATAATACATTTTTTTAAAGTTTTATTTCCTGGTCTTTTTTATTTAAAGATTTTTCATTAAAAAACAGAGGTCGGTAGTACTGTGCCTTCAGAAGATAAAAAGGTTTTACAATAGATTTAAATTTAACATTCATATAAATAGTTATATTTTTATCAGTAAATTTATGTCTGTAAAAAACAAAAATACAATTATGTTTGGTTAAGAATTCAACATAAACAATATTGTTGAATGTATGGCTAACTTACCATTATTCAAAATTTGTTTAGTTACCACCTCACTACTACCCAACAGTTTAGGAATTTTCCTCACAACTGTAACATTCAATTGTTTCCATGACAGTACCAAATCCCGTTTAAACAATGGTGAAGAATAATCATCCTCTTCTTCAGCTGTGTTATTCCAAGCCTTCCACATTTCATTGTACCTCAAATCCAATACTTTTTTCTATGAATGAGAAGATCACAAAAGTTTATTGAAGATAATAAATTAAAATGTACAATTAAAAATTAGCTACTCACAGTCGCCATGGTAAAGCAAATAGCATATACTAAACGCTATAAATTATAACATACTACAAGCACATTATGTTTATACTTTTAGGTATATCACTAAAAATTATCAGTCTGATGACCTCAGATTTGTATAGTGATCTATGGGCTCGTGGAGATAAACATTTCAAATTTTGAACTATTTTCATCTGCCCATAACTGCTTTAATAGAACTGTCTGTGTTAACAGCTCAACTTTTTTTTGAAAATGTATTAACCCAGATAGGTTTAACTTATTTAAGTCTTAAAAGTATAATCATACTTCTAGATTAAATAATACACTTCCTAACAAAGTACACACTCTACATCCGTTATGAACACAGTTGTACATAATGGAATTAGTAACTAAAGAATAACCTTTCACCTACAAAGATAACTCAGTATTTTGTACTAGTAATACATTATAATTAGTTATTTTATTATCACAGGCTTATATAGACATTAAACATTATATTATATTAATTATTAAAATGAACAGTTATACAAAACTCATAATATAAATAATTATAATGAAAACTCATAAACTTTAAGGTTTATACAACAGAAAATATGTAGTTACATAATAATTAATCAGTTATCAACAAGTTCACAGCCACGAGCCACGTGCCAACTATAGTCGACACGGGGACATTCGGTTCTCTTTAGATAAATCCAAGTCAAGTATAGTCACAGATTTCTATATTATGGGATGAAAATTATAAAATAGGTATAAGTATAAGTTTGTGAGTATAGTTGAAATGCCGGGGTCCGTTCAATTAGTATTGTTTTAACTGGTTTATTTTAACAATTATTATTATACTATGACAACAAGGTTTCAATGAACATGTCCTAAAGCTTGGTGTACTTGGTTTAAATTTGGCCACCAGATGGCGATAAATGTATTTTTAATTTTATTACGTGGTTTTTTTGATGGGTAAGTACCATACGGTGGCCGTGAACCATAGACCTATGAGCTAGGTAGTTCAAATACCCTAGTTTACCTATTTACAATATCAACAAATGTACAAAAATCAATAAACAATGTAAAAATTAGATACTAGGTGTCTAGAATAAACAGAACATGTTATAAATGTGCATATAAACAATGTAAAACGTTTCTATACTTTCTAGACTCTTGTATAGTAGATTAAATTTAATTTACCATATGAAAATTCATGAATAAATTATTATATATTATCCCTTAAAATAATTCACCTATACTACGTTGTTTTATTTGAAACCATATTAGTAGGTGATAGTTTTGAAGTTTGTTCTGTATCTCCAATTGATATAACTACAGAGTCTCTTCTTTCAGATTGAATGTTATCCGTTCTTGGTGTATCTTTAGTTGTATCAACTAATCGACTATTGAGAGCCTTTAAGGCTAACAATCTAAAATAAAACAAAGTATCAGTTATAAAATGATAAGCTAAAATTATTAAGTATACTACTAAAACAATTTAAGTACGAGAATCATTTATAAATCATAATATTACATCAGGTATACCATAATCAGGCCTTTCAGAACTTGGTGCATTATTATCATATTATGAGTCGATATTAATTCTAAGCAGCATATTTAAAATCTGGTTTGACACAAATTTTTCTTAAGAATATATTCATCTCAAATTCAAATATTTATTGTTGTTTATTCTTCCATATTTAACCAACATTTTAATGATTGAGTATATTAAGGGGACTGCTGTAACCTACACATAGGGGTATTTATTAGGGAGACAGGGACGGACATATTATTTTTTCAATTTTTTTTATAATTCTGTGGATTTCGATATTACTGGATATTACTATTATTTAATACATAATCAATAATTTATTTATTACATTAAGATTATACTCATATTGGGGAAAACATTTTTTAATAAATTGTACCTATATTGTAATTGTATTTGTGGTGTAAAAAAATTGTTATGGTCCTCCCAGATCTTTGCTCTGGATCTGTTCCTGGTTGGAGATAAGTAATGTGTTGAGCAAGCAACTGATCAGTGAAATTGCACTTGTATTGTAGTAGGAAGCCATTCTTGTAAATTGAAAAAAGAACAGTTTAACACATTGACTGCCATGTGACCACACAATATGTATTAATGAAACCCCAAACATATTTTGTATAGTTAAAATATTTTACTTAAAAAGATAATATGTTCATTACATTAAATAAACTGTAATTATTCCCACTACCCCATTGCACTATACTTAGTACATTATTATACCTCCATAGAAAAATTGATAATTTAAAACTATATTCATTCGTTTTAATATAAAGAATTTATTGAAAATTATATTGATGATGGTATATTATTAGTTATTACTGTTTGAAATGTATTTTAATTGCACATTATTACTACCTTAAAGTTTATGGATTTTTATTTTCAATTAGGTATCGATCAGTTATGCAACAAAAAAATCACTTAAAAATCACACAGAAATTTAAAATATCTGAAAAGAGTTTAATTAATTTATAAATACCTATAAAAATAATTATTTAATTTAAATTTTATTCATATGGTTACTTATACTAAATATTTTCTTAGTTTTATTTTTAGTTAAATTTAATAAGGTACCTATAGAAATAAATAATAATTAAGATTCACTTACTTTCTTCTGTCCATATCGAGTGATCGAATGCCAGGCAATGCAACAGTAATACCAGTTGGTGCACTGGCAATATCAACTCTACGCACAGTCTTTCTGCATATACCAGCTTTTACAAAAACACTGTATACTGAATTTGACAATACTGAAATCGGTGGCTGAACAATAACTGGGAAAAAACTTTTAAAAAAAACAAGTTAAAAATGCACATATTTAGGTAATATTTAGGTATTTTACCTTGCAAAAGTAAAATTGTCAGCCATATCACCTCTTGTTCCGTTTGTATGTATCTGATAAAACCTCAAATACGTCCAACTCATCAACACTCCACTGATGACCATTGTCGGTTTCGTGCCATCAACAAAACCAATAAACCAGAGAAGGAGTGCAATAAATATTGTGAACAAAGGTACATTGCGGTTGGTGATACGACCAGCCGGCGTGTCAAGCACGGTGCTATCGGGCATGATTTGTTTTACAGCAACAGTGACGCCAGCTAGATATCCTGCCAAGCCACGCACGTGCACTGAGAACAATAGTTCCGGGTCCCAGGTGCACATGTAAAGGATATAATAGAACACAGCGCACGCCAATGCCACTCCTACATTGACGACGGCAAAGAACACGAGCACTTGTAGTTCACCCCACAGGGGTTCGATGAGCTTGCTGCACACGGCCACCATTGCGATGTCGAGCAGTACTTGCCACAGGTGCGTTTCGAAGAAACAGAATGTGAATGGTGTCCATAACCAGAACGAAGGCGGAAATAAGTAACCGGGAGTCACACCGAACACCGTCGAGCTCTTGGACCAAAACGAGAAGAAATAGCACACAGACAGCACGCACGATATGATTTTAATACACAGCCCGGTGTTGTTGAATAGCAGTTCGGTGTTTTGCTTGATGTGAGGTAAATTTTTACGTACTTTGTTGAAAACGGACATGGTAATATTGGCTGTGACACGCGAAAACTCCAAAAACAAATATCAATTCACACAAGCACGTACGTTCATCGTATATTCGAATTATATTAATCGTACTCGGCTTTCCACAATTGCACATAAATACATAATAACTATAATACTATTTTTTTTTTTATAAAAAGATATAAGTAATAACTATTAATTAATATCACAGAAGTCATCAAAAAGACAAAAAATAATAATTAAATTGATAACAATATGTTTTTTCTTAGGGCACTGATAATATTTTGGTATTCTGTGTGGTTGTTTTTTAAAATCCCTTTATCAGTTAACTATATTTTGATATGACCACAGACATAAACTACTATATACATAGCTGACTGTATATTACATTCCCACAGGAACATTGAAGTCGTGCGGCCATAATATTATTATGTCAACAGGGCAATGTTTACAAAATAACTCAGTAGATAAAATACCTATACATATTTATATGATATATATATATATATTATAAATACATGTATATTATCAATCATGCAATTTTGCCCTGTTGGCATATGGCTGCCGACTTCAATATTATCCTGTAGTCGGCTATCTAGTTGTTTTATGTGACTACAGTGGATATGACGAAAGAAATAACTTGTGTTCTAACCAATATTTTGAATTTTTTTTTCCATACAACTTTAGATTATTGCTTATTATTACACGTTACAATAATTACGTGAACAGAAAAAAAAATTCATTAAATATTAAAGTGTTTAAAATATAGTAAATAAAATTATTATATATGTAAAATAACTAAAATGATTTAATTATTATGACTACATAAATATAGTTGTTTGTTATGGTAATGTTAACTATATTCTATAGTTACTAGTTTTTAATGTTTAAATTAAGAGGACGCCATACCCGCATGCTTTGTCTCGTCATACAAACACAATATAACATAGCACATAGTACGTTCTGATGAATTAATTAACTCCGTTGCGTTTAATCTTAGAGTGAATCGATCTATAATCAAATTTAATAGTAAAAATATTATCCAGTCGATGACAGGTTTTTTTTAAACTTCAACTGTCAAGCGAGTTATCAGTATTTTAAAATTGTAAACTCTTTGTACAACTTAAAATACTCATAAATCGTTTTAAAATTAAAACATAACAAAAAACCTGTATAATGCCCTAGATAATAATCATACCTTTGAGTTATATACGAGGTCAGTTCACTATAATATTTAAGCTAACGGAGCTAAATGTGATCTGCTGAGTGTCAAATTTGCAATGGTCCGCACTTGTAAGACGGAGACAACAAATGTGGGTATTATGTCCCCTGCTACTTCATACTATTAATTATGAGGAACATATAAAGTTTTCTTCCGAATTAAGTCATATGAAAATAAATGAATTAGAAAATATTTTTTCTGTTCACCATAAAAGTATTTCTAATGGATATTTATAAAAATGTTATTACAATCATGTAATATCTATTAAACTTGTAATTACTAACTAAACATCTATATGCATTTTGGTATCATATTAATATATTGTTAATTTACAAAGAGTAGGTACCTATATTTTTTCTTTTGAAATGTAACCCATACTTAATGTTTTTAAATAGAACTTTTTAAAATAAAACTGTGTTATTTTAATATAAGTACTTATATGCACAATTATAATGTATAAAATGTAATTAAGTTATCAATAAAAAAATGTAATGTGTAATAAGCGGTTTTTTAATGTTATTTTTTAATATATCTCACTTGTTATCAATCCTTCGATTGATTTACAATTTATTTATGTTGTATATTATAATAGTTATATAAAGGTAAACAAAAACCCAAACCAATTGTATTTGAATACAATAAATTACCTACTGTAAATAATAGTAAAAAGAAATATTAATTAGGAATGAGAACTATAATTTAGTTATTTCAAATTGTAGTTGAGTCAACTGTTATTAATAGTTAACACTTATTTGTATTTAGGTATTGTCAGTATGCTTATAATGTAGATAAATATAAGTCTTAGTTAACTTAACAAATAAATTTTGCTCAAGCAAACTAAATTAAAAAGTATTTAGCACTAGAAAAATAGAGTAAAACCGACTGCATGATTCAGTTCGAATAACTATAGTAACTTGACTATAATATCCCTATCACTAGAGCAATTATAAAATACCGGCAATCCTACTATTTTATTATATAACCATTTTGTTATTTCCGTGTATTAGTATTTATTAATTGGATGAAAAAAAAATTAAAAATATTAATTAGAACTCAAGTTGAAGAGAGACAAATCTAAGATGCATTATTTTATATGAATTTCCTTGTTTTCTTAACAAATTTACGTTAGGATATGGTGAATCAGTTTGGTGAAGTAGTTATATATATATATATACATGGGTGGATAGGCTCATAGGGAAATCGGGATTTTTCTGTTTAGGCCCCCATATCTAAAAATCATTTTCTCTTACATCAACATTAATAAACATAATAAAGTATAAAGTAAGCAAGTACAATAATACAATTTACCTATTCTTACTCTATGCCCTATGGTATTATTTAATATTTTATCAAGTGTTATTATTTTTGTTTTACTTTTCCTATTGGTTATTGTGACTGTGGTAATTGTGACTTTTTGCTAATTGTGTTTTAATTTTTTAAATAATATATGTATGGTAATTATTAATTACTATGTCTAAACGAAATTTTGAAAGCGGGGCTTCAAGAAGAAAAAGAATGGATCAATATTTGTTAAGTAAATGTGCCAACGATACAACTCAAAAGGAGTTACATTTTTCTTATATACAATAGGTTATATGTGACTCTAATAAATATATCCCTGTAAAAAAAGTACCTAATATCCGCCTATATATAACCTAAAGATTTTCAAACAGGAAGCTGCGACCACGGTCAGATAAAATGTTTTTATGTGAAGAAAAACTTCGTACAACGTCCACAAAAGTAACAGGGGCATATTTAAAATGAACCATATCATTTAAAGTTTAGTCTTCCGGGATACCATCTCTATACTAGTTGTATTTTCACCGTCCAGAATAGCAGATATATTTTTACAACTTTGAACCCTTTATTTTTCATCAAAACATCGTTCAGTTTATTTGATATTGTTTCTCCGATTTCATTAGGAACAAAGTACAATGTAGTCTCAATTTGTTTTATTTTATTAATAGATTCTGCTAATAATATTCCAGAAGCCTCCACATTTTTTATTTCCGAAGGAATGAAACCTAAATTAGATTAGGCTTTAAACTTGATTTAGACATAAATTCTTTTGCTTCTTTTATAGTAGTCGAATCATCATGATTTAATTCAAGCAAAACTTTATTTACATAAGAAAAATTCTCACATTAGTAATTTACAGCATTTAGCCCCATGGCGTGATTACGGGTTCGGGTGGCCATGGAATTCCTGGAGCAAGAGTTTTAAACATTTGTGTACGATATGGTGATTTTCAAAATATTTTTTTTACGTAACTTATAAGTTTATTGACATCTTGAAAATTTGATCTTATTTCTTCTGCAACTCTATGAATTGCATGCGCCACACAGCCACACAGGTAACATGCACCATTTTTGAATACAGAGTGCAAGTGTCTCTTTCTGCTTTCACCATATATGATGGGCAGCATCAGATACAAAAATGAGGACATTATGTTGTTTTCTTCCTTCAGGCCATAATGTTAACATGACTTTATCGAACGCTTTTGTAATGGTTGAATGATTTGTTTCTTCCAAGATATCAGAATATAACAAAAATATTTTTCCTGAATTTTCTGCTTCCAGGGTAGGTACCAATAACGATATTTACTACATAATAGCCTTCAACATCTGTTGTTTCATCTACACTAACCCAAATTTTTTTATCGCCAACAGTGTCTAATATTTCGTATTGCATTTAAATAGCATTTTTTCAACATAATTTTTACGCAATGTTGACTCGTCTGGGATTTTAAATTTTATATTTTTTTCTAAAAAATGTCTAAAATGTGTGTTATTTAATTTAGAAAGTGGAATACTAGCTGCTAATAATGTTTCACAAAGCTCTGACTCTGAATTAAATTGATCAATATTATTTGTTAAATTATATAATAGTACTTGATTATTTTGTTTCATTTCATTCAGTTTTCGATGAATTCCACAAGCATGCTTATCTCGACTGATGTGTTGTTGAATTGTAAATTTCTTTTCGGAGGCAACTGCAACATTACAAACTTTACAAAAAAGCATCATACCGTCCAAAGAAAAAATATCAGCACCAAACTCGCTTACAAAACTACATAAACAACTTCCTACTGTTGACTTAATTTTTGGCATTTTGTACAGTTAAGATCGGTAGAACCACATAGGTACGCGTCAAATTCACTACTAAAGCTACTATTGTATACCTAAATAGTTATGGGTTCGTTCGATATTTAATCTTATCGAATAAATCAACAATTAATTATATTACTTTTTCAATATAAATGACTGGAGTAGGTAATTGCTTATAGGTACTAATTGGGATTACCTTTACAACACATATTAAAAAAGCTTAAAATAAACAAAAATTAGTTGAAATACACAAAATAAACCTAATATATTTAGTTTTCGGTTAAAATTGTATAACACTCCGAGAAAAAAAATGCAAAAGTCACCAAAATCCTAGCTCTGGTTACAAGGTAATACAAATATTCAAAACGAATAAAATATTAAACAGATAACTTAAATGCTTTGAAAATTTAATACATAATTCCTCTTAGGTTTTTTTATATTTAACAAAAAAAAAAAATTGCAGGAAAGTCAAATACTTTATTCGAACTTTTGAAGTTGACGTTTTAATAATTACCAAATTCTCATACAACGATTTTTTTATTTGTTTTTTTTTCAAAAACTGATGATTATAGGTATACATGAAATTTTCATTAAATGTTTATTTCATCATTTTTTATACATGATTAAATTTTCAAAATATTTCATAACATTTTGAAGTTATTTTAGACATTTGAAATTTGAAATTTGAAATATTTTTAGTTTTTTATTCTATCAATTATATTGTATTTGTTGGGTCGAAAAAATTGAAAATTGTATACAAGGCTAATGATATATGATATACTCCTGATGTGTGACAATATCAGTTGAAAAATAATAATAATACATATAGGCACGATTTTTTTTATTAGCATTCAAAGTTTAAATTTTGACAACATTTATAAAATTCAAAATTTACCAATTATTTTGTAGTTAAAAATGTATGAAACAATTTTTATAACTTAAAATTAGTTTTAATCTGCACTAGGAAATCTACATTCAATAAAATGATGTATTTAAATAAAAATCTGTACCCTTATTTTAATGCCGTATCTAAAGGAAGTTATTAATCAATTACAAAGAAAGCGTCCAAAAATGTATCAAGAGACGCTGCAGCAAATTCTTTAAACATCAATACTAGTAATAATATTGCAGAAGTTGGCAATGAAACCGCAGTGAGCATTAAAGATAAAATTACATCTCAAATCCCAAAAGCAACTGAAAAGGAAAAAATCAAAAATCCGGAAGTAAATTTAAAAAAAACACAATGGAGTTTGGGAATTACAAGTTTAATCCATTTTTTATTTGCAAATGTGGTCCTAAAACTGTTTAACGAGAGGTTGGGTACGATTAAAATGGTTTACGTGATATTTATTGTATTAGTTGTTCGATATTCAACTAGGACAATTGGAAAAATACAATAAACAGAGCAGTATAATACGTATACTGTCCGAGAAACTTAATCTCGTCCAGATTAAAGTTAACAATAAAAACGGAATAACGTGGATAGATTTATTACTATTTCGTTGTTCTGGCTATTAGCTCAAAAAAATTCAATTTAACGAACTAATTAAGTGTACCTATATGGAAATAAAAATATTTTTATTAATTTATTAAGGTATAGATAGATTTTAAATGTTATTGAATTAGTAGCTTTAAGTCTTAGAATAATTATTAGCTACATTAAAATTAAAATTATGTAATACGATACTGGTCCATAGTTCAAACAAATGGCTTATTTAACAACTTAATATGAACAGATGATAATATACTGCTATGGCCTATTATAGACGATAGACCTATTACATAGGGCGACCATTATTCATTAGTCATGTAAGTACTAAGTATGTAACTACATAATATATTGCATATATTATAGTAGTACCTAGTAGTATAAATAATAAACCTAGTCTCGAATATTAAATAAAACAATTAAAAATCAATATAATAGCAGTCATATACTCATGTCATATTAACAATAATAATACAACTTTATTCTGGGATATAAATATACAACTATTAACTTACAATATTTACTATCAATAAATCATATTTTCTTAAAATGTATGTCTTTAATGTTTAAACGTTATAACATTTTTTAATATTTTAAATAATTTAATAGCTATAAACTATATATAAATAGAACTTTTAATTTCAAATAGCTTCTTAGAATGATGGTTTGATTATAATTATATGGATAGAACCTACTATATAGGTATAAGTCTATATTACATGAGTATATGAAATGTTAGTAGTTACAGTGTATTTAGTACACTTAACCTAAATTTATAAAAAGTTCATAAAGTATAATTTGTATGCATAATATAATAACGTGGGTGTTATAATAATATAGTATCGATAATAGCATATAGTTTAATTTATATTTTGCTTTTGGCACATATTTGTTGACGGAATTGTATAGTGCTCTGTACAGACATATAGGTACCTAGTACAATAATAATATAATAAAACAATGTTTATTCAATGTAATTTCAACCATTATTTTGTTGAAGTATGTAATTTATGAAAATGTAAATTTAGGGAAATGATTTTAAAGACTTTATAATAAATAGTAATAATAAATAATTAAACAAATAAATAATGGTTTTTCCTTTGCTCCTGATCTCGTTATTCTCAAGTATTGAATACTGTTGAAGCATGTAGTCAAGTACCTTGTACCTACCTACTTAAATCTTCTTAAATCGAATTCATTTAAAATACCAAAATACTGCTGATAGAAATGGGAATAACAATATACAAATTTTAAAGCCTCCATAATATATTAACCGTAGGTATATCATATATATGTATTTATGAAAAAGTATGGACCTCTATTTATGTTTATAGGCATAACGGTGACAGTCGTGGTCCTTAAAGTCTGCAACAATCCGGTCAATTAGATCTCTGCCTGGAGAGTTGACCTTGACCCGAGTGTTGTACCAGCAGCACGAGTACATGTAACAACCTTAGGGGCATAAGTATAATATAACGATTTTTGTTCTGTATTTTATTTGCACAGTCGGATCATGCAGGCTGCTATAAATGGCGAGGCGGCTAGCTGCGGCATATTGTATACTTCCCATTGCGTACCTATATACGTATAATATGGATATTAAATATTTATGATTGTATAGTGTGTATGCTCTCCAGTCGCCCTCGTGACGTTAAAATATGTTGTACTCATTACCTACTATAATATTAATGTAGTTATATTATATTACTAACGCATTTGTGATACATACTATACATATTATATAACTACCTAATAATAATAACATACCTACGTATTGCAGGGTCATCCAAATCTTGATATTTTATAAACAAAATATTTGAGGATTTCGATATCGTTTTATGAAATTCTCACCTCATAATATACTATATAGTATCATATTCTACAAAATGTATTAATACTCCTATATCCTGTTTATAATTTATATGGACATTATCAGTTATTCAACTATCCCGAAAATATGAACTTCAGATAAATAATGAATCGAATGTATATTGCCTTTTAAAGGCAGGCAATTTATAGTTGTATTGTATTTTGTAGTGGACGTTCGATACTGTTCAGATGTAGGCACTTAAAAGTTATGTTAGGATATGGTATAAGTTTTTTTGTTTATTCTTATATAGCATAATAGAACGTTTAAATAACGAGGGGTTCCGGAACTTTTGTTTACATGGAAGATGCTGATCATAAAGATCATTGTACTGCAGAATCATGATTCTTTTAAGCAATACATCAAAAGGTAATTAATAATTAAATAGTGCTAAGTGCATGTTAAAAAATCGGCCATACCCGAAGGGGGGAGGCACGACAAAATCATTTAACCATCACTGAGTGGATGATGATCATCATACTTTTGCCGCAGCAAGTATATATCTGAGCAGTCAGTTGCCCTATCTGCCCCCCCCCCCCCGTCCTTCAGCACCAATGAGTAGACCTATATCTAACACTATTATATAACTTTAAGTTTTTACATTATTAGAGTTTCTTATATTTTTTTACAGATACCTAATCAATAAAATAATATGCATCACATTTAAAATGTGCGGACAAGCGAAATATAAATGGCATTGTGTATAGAATTCTTAGCTAAAGTAACGGTTCACCGACAACTAATCCAAGCTGATCCAAATTTCGAATGATTAAGTATTTGTTTGGTATCCACTATCCGTTAAGATTAATAGCTAGTGTTTAGAAAAGTGTAATTCTGCACCAGGAAATGAAATCGAAAAAAAAATGAACTTGCAGAAAACCCCCAAAAACACTATCGTTAGGATCAGATTTTTTTAAATTTGAAAAACACGTACATTTACTTGACACTAGGAATGTTGCATAAAAACAAGAACTATAACCATGGAAATTTGATATATGGTCATAAACGAACCTGTACCAGGTACAATATATACAATACGAGCGCAATAAAGGTATATAACAGCTGCATGATGGTTTTCGGTATAAAAATATTATTATACCGTACAGTGTACACCGTACTTGCAGTATTGACTATATTGTGACTCGCGGGCCGAGCTTTTTAATTATACCTACCGTAATTATAAAATATGTACAAAGCTGTAATAACAGTCGGGACAGTCGTGGTGGGTCCAGCGAGCGGCGGCGGCGGCGGCGGCGGCGGCCGTATAATATAAGTACGGTAACAGCGGCGGCGGGCATCAGCCGCCTTACGGGACGCGCGCGCGCGCCGCCGCCGCCGGCCAATTAGCGCCGCCAGAGGTCGGTCCCTGTGTGTCGGCGGCGGGTAGAAAAATCAATTGCGGTCGCATGCCAGGAGTGCACGAAAGAGAGTGCGTGAGAGAGATGGAGAGAAAAGCGGCAAGCCGGATGGCGATCGGGACGGACGGAGAAGGAATGACGGAGAAACGGGAATGAAAACGGCGAAATAACCGCTCGCTCGAGCCGTAGGTAGTGTACGCGCGCGTTCGCTTTGCTGCAGTTTTATGTGCGGCGCCGAGTCAGGCCGAACTACGAGCGACCAGGGTTACCGGGTCACAGTGACGATAACGTAACGATTAATGCATATACAATTATTTGTAACGTTATAAGTACCAGTCGCATTACCTGACGCAATGTGATCGAGATACCCATAATAACATATCACTGTGGGCCATGTAGGTTTCCGTCTTGGTAAGTATAATATTGTACCCAAACGCAATTGTTACCACCGGCTGTGTAGAACGCGTGTGAGACTTGAATATTTGACATACGCCGTCCGGGCTTCACGACCGTTTTGCATTTCGATTTCTCTGTTTACACAAAATGCAATAACTATTTGATATATACTTACCGACAATCAATATTATGTTATATTATGATATATAGTACACGAATACACGATCAATCGTGTCTCGACCGCACGCGTGATGAGAGCCGTCTGCCGCAGTTCTCTCATCTTATCTCAACGTCTCGAAAGTTCTGCAACGATATGATTTCGAACTCAAACGTACGACGTCTTCTAATTGTTCCCCTTACCAGTTTGAAGGTAAGACTTCACAGATTCATTTTAATATACACGTGGCATATCGAACACGTGACTATTATTAATATAAATATGCGTATATTGCGTCACCGTATGGCGTACATCATGTCTTCGAAACTATATTATAATCTCGTCTGAAACCTACGAAATAATAATAATACGCATCTTACCGGGTATTAGGCATATGTACTTGTGTACTTACTACTTTATAGTTATTAGGCGCTTGTGCACCTAATACCTATAAAAGGTTGTTTTACTAAGTGATCTACAGCCCCATACGTTATTAATATTTTAGTCATATTATAGGTATACAATTATAAAGATATGCAGCCTGCGAATTTGCCACAAATGCATTTTTTTTAATGTTTGAGGTGGGACATAGGGTTTTCAAGAGTAGGTATCTACGGTCCAATCAAAATGTATCTTGAAATATAATTTTAAAATTTAGCATACCTATTGATACATCAATAAAAATAAATATAATAATAAAAATAAAAATTGATATTTTGTAGTTTTTCTTACTATTTGTAATTTGTTCACCTTAATAAATACTTTTTAAACAGCATTTTATCATAGCAAGCCAATCACTGTTTTTTTTTAATTTTTTGTTTAGTAACTCTGTGTAAATATGCGAAAAACAAATTTTTCCTATTAGATATAATAATCAATAGACTTATTTTGATATATTATTAGTTATTACATTTAATTAGAAATTAATTCATTTTTCGTTCGGTAATGCAACATTGAATAAATCATTTTTCAATAATTTTTTGAATCGATTCATTTTAAAATGTATTAAATGTTTAGTTATGTATGTATTTACTATTTAATAATAAGTTGTACAATATTTCTGATATATTTTACGTAAGACAACTTTTTAAGTATAAAATATGAATTTTTTTTTTTTTACATTCTCGATGCATGTTTTTAAGTTTATATTACGTTATTTTTTATTTTGAATGCATTTTTTCACCACTCTATAATCTATATTATTTATATATCATTATACAAATTATTGATTTATATTTACTTCTACTCTATAGTAGCCGGTAGGTAGTTTGCAACCCTCAATAAATTATTAGGAATACCTTATTCGTAGTTATAAATTATAATATGTATTCTCAATGTCTTCTCTCTAAGTTCTCAATGTATTCCCCAAATAATAAATACTACGATTGTCCGATTCCATTACACGTACATACCTATCACTAATATTACTCATTACATTTTTTAGGACCATCGTCTAGTGTTATTGATAATAGACTAGTTCATTTTTAGTAGAAGTAAAATAACATACATTCGTGAAATATTACTTATATAATAAGTTATAACTTCTAAGTATAAAAATGAAATTTTAAAATGTACTGTAATTATGTATTATTCATACAAATAGGCCGATAATAATTGGTCACATCCTCGGGAGAACTTAAAATTTTTACGTTATCCATTATCGTTAACATACATTTTCAGACACTTCGACCTTTTAGCTCGTGGCTAAACTTACTTTATACTAGCTATAGGCACCAAATATGTGTAGGTAATAGGAACATAAATAATTGAACTATGATAGCTACAATTTTGTTTTTTAATGTTATAAAAATATTGATTTGTGCAAATATAGTTTCATTTCTATCAATATATTTAGGTATACTTTTTCATATGTATAAAATTGAGGTGTTATTGATATTAAATATATCAAACACTCAAGCGATTATTGAACTAGTTAAAATTTAAAATTAATTCACATATTACACATAATATCAATGAAATGTTACGTCATTGCACATATACAACACCGTTGTAGTATACTGTAGGTACATAGGTACATCGTATATTCGTATTAATAATAAGCGTAATGGTTTGCTTTTGGAAAATATTTTACAGTTTAAAGCCACCCACCCCCTCGATATCCGCCTATGAATTTTGTACTTAAATGTAAAAATTGAATAAATCTTAAAGATTTTTTTGAATCACACAAACGTATACCTAACATGATATATTAATTACTTGTAGGTACACTAATTTAGACTGAAAACAGTACTTACTATAATCTAACTTAAGTAAAACGTTTATAAAGCTACTAATAAGTCCGAGCATGAATATTTTCCAACTAATGGCCTGTGTCTATTAAAAAAACTGATACCCAAACCTACCACAACGGAAAGATTGATTAAAAAAAATGTTCTCTAATATTGAAAAGCGAGGTGAAACCAACAAGTAAAGAAATATACATATAAATGATCCATGATGATAATTCATAAGTTCAAACCATTATAATAATTAATAACTAATAAATAATATAATTGATTTCATTATAATATAGCAAAATATTATTATAAAGTCAAATAATACCCAGTAATAAACACAACAGAAGTAGTGCAGTAGGTACTTACTACATATTTTGCTTATAAAAATTGTGTTTACATTAATTACCAATAAATAAAAAAAAGAACAAAAAAATAATAATAAAACAGAATACCGTCTGTTTGGGACAAGGGAAATTTAAAACTGGAACTACATATTATATTAACATGAGAGTAAATAATAAACTCTCAAATTTAATTGATCAAAGTTATAGAAATATTATTTTTTTAAAAACGCAGATAGGTCATTTAGGAATGGAAATGAAATGTTTAATCTGGGTATAGGTACTACATAATATACATACACCTATATTTGGACAGACTGACTCCAAATACAATTTCTAAGTGGTCGTGCAATAAATATTTGTTCATATATAATATTATTCCTATTGTTATTACCTTAAGTTTCAAACTTAATAGCAAATCCATACGTAATTGCAATTTTAACTAACAATAATTAAAAGCAGATTTTTTTGAAACAGAAATTATTTTTAAAAAAAATGGTTTTTTGGATTAGATTTAAAATTTGAATATAACATTTTTGTCAGTATGAAAGGTTACCTCAATAGTATTCGTATTCCGACACATCAGAAATGAAAATGACGTTGGTAATCCATATTTTTATTGACTTGTTGAATACTATTTAATGCAATTAATTAACAGACCTACTGTCGTTATTATAATGCAGATGCGTGGACTGTTTGGTGGATTGGGGTTTAATTAATTGAATCAGCTATACTCTCTTGTACGATTGGGTATAAAATGACAAATTTACAAAACGTGGGAACCGAATGAATTAATAATTACGTCTCTTGGGCATAACCTAACTAAACTTAAGTGACGACTTTATGGTTTTTTAGATACTTGAGTGATGAAGGTCGAAAACAGCGATGTGCCCACAATATTCAATCCGCGGAAGCCAAGACTTTCACAAAGTAATGCCGTGCTGACGTCAGACCACAGGCCTTATGGTCCTTTCTCGCACGTGCTGTCCAGAAGCGAATCTCGTATGTGTCTGGTTGTGCAGCGTTGTTCTAACAACGGGTGGATTTGATGGCCGAGGCGTGCAGAGCATATAAATAATTAATATGTGAAGAATTCGATTAATCCGCAGTGGAGAATAATCTTATAATTTGACTTATCTACATTATTCGTGCACTTGCGAATATACCTACCTATGTGTTTAATCGTTTTGAAGGGAGATGGCAAACATTTATACAGTATACTATAAGCCTCATCTCCAGGATTGAACATTTCTGCACGCCTCGAACTAAATACATCCCGTCGTCTGACATTTATCCTTGTGTTGTGTGTGCGTGTGCATGTGTTATGCTTATGACTTAAATTCTCGTTTCGTTTTCTTTCTAGTGTGTCAGCCTGAAGATGTGGAACAAGTGGAACAGTGCCAGCGAAGGCAGTTGGGCGTGTTCAAGAGGCTGAAGAACAAATGCTGTTCGAAACATGCGAGGAAGGTTTGTATAGTGCGCGAATTGTTAATTTTTTTCCAAATCCAGATAGAACAAAAATATTATTAGTAGAATAGGTAGGGTTAAAAAATCCATTTCCTGGCTTGTAGAAAAAAACTTACTCAACACATACCAATTTTCTCTTTACTTAGGATATTATTGTGTTGTGAATGTCCACAGGTATACTACGGTTTGTGCGTCACTTTTTTCGTCACAGCGTCTTGGGTTGGTGCCACTCACGCTATCAAGTACCTGTATATGTACCATCCAACCAAATATCCGGTGCTCACAGGCAGCGGGTTTAATTTTTCGTCCATACACCAACAAACGGTACGTATAAAAAAATTAATGTACAAAAATATTATCGATTTTCAGAAATTGGATAAACGTGTGCCTCGCACACACAATTATTTACATTGCCATGTAGGTAAGCGCAGACGAGGTGTTTATGAATCGGATTATGCTTGGACTGTATTGTTTGTATACGAGGTCAGAATTATTGCTCGTTGACGGTAGAAGAATAAAACTCAAAAATTACCATTTTACACGCCATTATATTATATATTATAATGTATTTTAAACGGGCGTATTACACGAGCGGTCGAAAACGAGGCTTTGTAAAATAATTTAACAGCGGCGTGCGTGTACTGTTCAACACACTTTATCTGCAAGTTCATCATTATCATTAACATATTATATAGGTATAGGAACATATTATATTTTTTTATATAAATGATTAATACGGATTTTATACAATTCTTTTCTGAAACGAAATATTCAAAATATATTATTATACTGTTGTTTCTACGGTTATTTTTATAAATGGATACCGATCAAAATAACCTTTAGTGAAAATCGCAGCTCTTTTAATTCGATAATTCCTATTGGCTATTATTATGTTGATAAAGATTAATCGCTTTTTCTGCCGGAGAATTTCAAAGGAAAGAGAATACGAATTGAGTGTATAGTATATTATATTAATTTTAAATCAAACCATCAGTAGGCTATTCGAGTGCTCGGGCTATTATGACTCGATCGAAATCAACTAGGTAGTAGGTACCTACCTGCAAAATCATCGATGGCCTCATTCAGTCATATGAACACACGCACATATAAATACTATTAGAAAAATAATTATTGTTTTTAATTATAAATATCATACGCATATTACATAATGCCGTTGTACCGGGTGGACGCGTTGCAGCTGATGACTTACAACGCGCCGTTCTTCACCACGTGGTTTTGCACGAACTGGACCGTGCTGTTCTTCCCACTGTACTTCTTCTGTCAGCTGGGCAGCCCCAACTACCAGACACCCACCGACATACTCGGAGAGAGCGTCCGAAACTTTCGGGACCGAGGGTTCACCGCCGCACACTTCCTGACTCGGTGTTGCATGTTCTGCATGCTCTGGGTGTTCACCAACTACCTGTACATACATGCGCTCAGCATACTCGTGGCCACCGACGCTCTGGCCTTGTTCGCCATCAACGTGTGCTGCGTGTACCTGCTCTCTTGGGTCATACTCCACGATCAGTTCGTCGGCGTCCGGGTGAGTGTGTCGTGGCTCCCTTCTCGACCTCCCCTCCCCGCCACCATCATTCGCAAAACCGAAAACCTTCAAGGCACGTGTGTCTGGGGTGTTGGGCTTCGGCGGAGGCGGCGGGGTGGGAGACGATAAGAGATGTTTTTCTGAGGGGTTGTAGTAGGAACGACCGTTGTCGTTACTTTGAGTGGTCCAAGAGGTGTATTTGAGGGGGTGTAGAGATTCTAGCGACAGAAACAACTGTAAAAGATGAATAAATAAATAGGGAGATTGTATAAGTTCCTATATTTTCACAAGGAGGCGTGACAGGTAAAAACAACTCAAGTATGAATTCCTACACGGGATTAAAACATGTTGAGTCTTCCACACATATTTTACAAAATGTTTAATTTACAACGATCCGTCCAGACCTATTGTCATTGTGCATACATAATAAGGAAAAGAGATGAAGTAATATTAATTATTAACAACACAAAAAAACAAACAAATTTAAACTGCACGGCACACCAACTATACTCAAATACTCTATGGGTACATAATAATTTAGTTACCAATAATAATTCTAATAATAATAAGAATGGAAAAAATACATAGGAGCTTAATATTTACTACCTAATTACTTTAATTATAATAATATGCATAGTATGTATTTAATTGTTTTTTTACTAAAAACTAGGAGTAAAAAAGTTCATCGGAACTCACATATTAACTCATTTTAATTCTTATATGACTTACATAGTTTTCTGTTTACCTATTAGGTATGGTGTTAGAACTCGAACTTTTCAAAAGAAAAATTCAGGAATACTATAAGCGGAAAACTCATTAAATTCATTGCTATACGTTGTAGGTACCTGTTATGTAATTACGAGTACAAGTATATAATATGTTTGTTACCCAAGCCGAACACTCAAATATGAAACTGTTCTAGGTTTGTGTAGGTATATGATAAAAATATTATAATTCAGTCAGTGCTGGAATGGCAGGAGGGGGCGCAGGGCGGCAGAGCTCCTCTTCAATTATTATTTCGTTAAGTTGGGCCTATTCAATAAGATATTAAAATTAAATTAATTATGTTTTTTTTCAAGTCCCGGAGTCCCCTTTCTTTTACTTAACTAATTCGAACACTGCATATAGTATACTCTATTCATAGTATATACTGCATAATATATTATAAAAACATTTTGATATAGTTTATAGAGCCATTATAAATGTTTGATTTTAAAATATAAAATCAATGCACTTACACGAAAGGACGTATTATATCTAATATCTATATCTATACACTCTGCTATGAGAGGTTTAAACTCCACGGCCACGTTTCCCAATATTATTATTGAATAACAGGAAATCCTGGTGACATATTCATAGGGGGGGGGGGGGGGTTGTGACCCCTACGTCCGCAAAAAAGGTGTAGTTGCGCCACCACCCAGTGGCCAGTGGCATAAACAGGTAGTTAAATCAATGATAGATTAACGCATTATAATATGAAAAAATTCACCATTTGGGCTAAGTTACTTCTAAAAAAGTTATAACTTATTAGTTATTAGTCATTATCAGTGAAACAGATTTTGACCACTATGGTAATATTATTACTGCCCATGTCATGATGCAAAACGATAAAAATATAATTTTTGTTGATTTATAATAATTTACTGAACAATATTAATTTTTTATTATTATTTCAAGTAGCTATAATATGTTTACTGTAGATCATAATTTATGCCATACATAATATACTATATAGTGTATATTTTACACTATACATTGACGTATATACTGTATATTCTACACATATACATGTTTTATGTTGTGATCATGTTGTTATACAATTTTTTTAGTAATGCGTGCACACATCCGCATGATTTAGATTAAATAGATTTACAATCTTCATGGATTATGAAAGGGGGAATTTCTCCCTGTACTCCAATTTATTTGCACCTACATGGACTTACTCTGTACCTAAACTCTAAAGTGTACACTGTACAGTAAATACCTAATAATAGACGACTATGTATAAAAATACAATCGTCTACCTAATAAAAATATATCATTATGCATGCGATCAATTGCGATGACGTAGATATATTACAATGCTTTTATTGATTGGAACGCTATATTAAAATATGTAGTGTTTAAAAAGTTCGGGGATTTTAGTAAATCGTATTAAGCGACGCACGTTGCGGGACCACGTCGATATTGTGCGACCCGTGCCGTTTTTAGCAATGCTCGTTTGCAGATCGTGGCTGTCATCCTATGCAGCACAGGGGTGGCTTTACTCGCCTACATGGACGCCGGTATTACGAACAAAAAGAAGACCATGACCGGGGTTCTGTTAGCGGCTTTAGCCGCTGCTGGGTCAGCAGTATATAAAGTGAGTACATCTCTCTGGCACAAACACTGCTATTTGAATGAACAAAATATTTGTATAGATTTATTTAAATATTTTATGTCTGTATTGTGTCTTACACAAATAATTGTATACTCGTATTAAAATATATAAAAAAAATAATTGAATTCTAAAAGGTACTTTTTTTATTTATTTAAGCTTCGACAACTGAGGCCATTAGCTATAGGTTGTGGTACTGTAGGGTTTTGGAACTGTAGGGTTTTTGGAATAAAAGGTACTTACTAATATAAACAAGTTACAGTTTTATAGTGTAATAAATTATCAGGTAGGTAAATAACACTTAACTACACAAGTAATAAAATATACATTATATTTAACTCCGTTCATACCATTTAAGTACATTTTATAAAAGTAATTTGCCATCTTCCTTGATTTCTGTTGTGAAAAATAGAAATTGGTGAATATTATAAAATACCTAATAATTAATTGTTTATGTTTAATTAATAATGACATAATACCAAATACCTAGGTAATAGGTGACAAAATAATATGATAAATTGATAAGGAGCGCAATTTGAAAAACTGCATAAAATAAATATTATTATTTTAATTTTAAAAACATTATTATATAAATATTTAATTTAAATTTTTATGCTAAATAATTATATAGGTCAGTAGCCAGTAGGCAATGCACTTTTTTATTTCCTGTCTAATTCGGCTATGACACAGATATTATATTCTGTATGACTTATGGTTTCAAATTATATTATCTAGGTACTTATAAGTTATATATAGTTTATAGATTATTTTTTGTGGTGTATGAAATATTAGACTACCTACAGGAGAATGTTATATTTAAGAATACATGAAAAAATTCTAGTATCCGTAATATAGTTATAATAAAGTTATTATAGTAATACTATAAAATATAGCTATTATCTATAACTATAGTTATAATTATTTTCTGAATAAAACTGTTATGGATTAAACGTTTGTCATTTAAGTAATACGTTGACTGATGAGCAAACTCTCAAAAATAATGTCGAAACGATGAAAATAATTGAGAAACTAGAATTAATATATTATTAACTGTAATATTTTTAATATTTTATCGTACTTTACAGGTCATGTTCAAAAAAATGATCGGCGATGCTACTTACGGTCAAGTGTCACTATTTTTTTCGCTCATAGGCCTGTTGAACGCCGCGCTCCTCTGGCCAGTGTGTTTAGTTTTGTACTTTTCTGAAGTTGAAATACTTCATTGGGACCGTTTGCCTTGGATGATACTATTATCGGCCAGCACTCTGTCTTTGGGTACTAAACAAATATCTGTATCTGCGTAACACTGTCTTATTATTTCATATACATTTCCATTTTCAGTAGCGAACTTACTGGGAAATTTGAGTGTTGCGTTCACTTACGACATTTTCATTACGTTCGGATTAATCACCGCGGTTCCCGTGTCTGCAGGTAAATTTTTCCATCGGACTAAATCACGAAATACTTATATTATGTTTGTACGAGTAATTACACCAAGTTTGACGTGTTTCGTGTTTATGAAACATAAATTGTGTATTAAAAAACATTTTATTATACTCATGAAATACAATAGGTAGTTGTCGCGATTTACTTATAATATATATATATTATAAGTTTATCGAAATTATTTTTAGTAAAAAAAAGTATATAGCGACCATTTTTTTGTTCACACGGCCTTTTGTACTTGGACTATTTTACTGTTTCAGCCATTGACATAACCATACACGATGTACAGTTTTATGGTATGAAACTTGCTGGCATCATACTTATATCGATCGGTTTCTTATTGGTCATGTTTCCTAACAACTGGCCAGAATACATTTTTCGATTGCTCAGGTAAATTGCACATAAATATAAGATTCAATGCGAGCGGTTTAGGCATTTCTTACTACAGCGCTGGCAAATAAATCGGACGAAACACTCACCTATTATGTTTTTAACAATTATTTTCAGGAATATAATACTACTGAGTCATAGCGCTAGGTGAGTGTAGCGTGAACCAAAAAAAAAAGCATGAATTTTTTTGTGGAAATTGTTGAAAGAGTGGACCAATATATACATAATATAATATATAATAATATAATAATAATAATAATCTAATAATAAGATGAATTGTAGCTTGGGGAAGGCCTTGTGATAGATGCTGCAGTAGTAGGGTTAAAAAAAAAAAGAAAAGAAGCGGTTGGCGAACAGCGTAAAAAATAGACGATATTACGTGTATTATTATATGCATACTTGGCCGACCTTTATTTGATTATATGCCTAAATTACACTGCAGAGGTCGGTGCGTGTTTCGTGTGTGTATGCGTGTGCGTGTGTGATACTTTAATATAACGACAACAATAATTTATATATTTAATATTATAATACAATAACAATAATAATTAATGTAGTAAAATATATTATATAGTAAAAATAATATATATTATAGATGTGTAATGACGATAGTTTTAATTATAATAATAATATATAATCACGAAATCGCTTCTATCCTGTTACGCGCAACCTCTTCTTTTTGAACCCCGTGTGGGCGTTATATATATATATTATATTATATACACTTTGCATGGCGATTTAGAACGGTAATTGCATGCGGTTTTTGGTGATGTAAAAAATAAATGTAAAAAAAATAAAATATATACCAAAGATTGTTTAGATCACTGGTGCGAGTGCAAAAGATCGATTGAAAATGTAATTAGAACCCTTTCGATTGCGCCGCCGGGAGTGTAACGTGTATGTACGTTCTGTCTGTTATTGTACCCGCAGGTGGAGCCGGAAGAACCGGGGACTGCCACCCAACCCACCCAAAGTGGAAATCGACTACCGGACCGGCTACATCCGGTCGCATTTGCGATCTCCGTCCGGTCGGGTCAGGTGACCGACTACTGCCATTGCCGCTCACTCACCGCGGACGTCGACATCGTTATTGCTGGCGATCGATAAATCGGCCGACAAACGCTGTAATAATAATAATAATAATAACAATTGTCGTCGTCGTATGTGACTGCAACAGTACTTATTGTGAATGTTCTGATTTAATTTCTTAGCCGTTTTACTTCTATATTTTATTATATGTAAATAATATTCCTTAGAGGCAGTGCTTGAATTAATATTGGAGGGGGGGCCAACTGCCTCTTAATTTTTTTCATAAGTCAATGGTCAATACACGAACCTTATAATTTGATTATGTGATAATCAGAATTTTTGGAATCAGAGAAATTATGAATGTATATTATTTTATACCTAGACTCGGAGGCCCTCTGGTCCTCGTGGGCGTTTTTGCGTGAAAACCAAAAAAGTCTACTACAAGATTACTTTTTCCTGAATTGGGTGTTTTATGGTACTAACTACTAATTCCTGATTTGATTGTATCATCAATAACTAATAAGATCATGTATATAATATAAGATTATGTGTTTGGTTATTATTATGTAACTAATGTATTTGGCGTGAAGTAGATATATTTTTTTGGAACACCCATTATTTAGACTTCATATACAATCAATAGATAAGACCCCCTTCAATTTTATTATTTTTCCAATTCAAGCACACCTTAGAGGCATAACGTTAACACATATCCGTAAATAATACTACTAGCCTGCTAGTAATATTATACATTTTAATATTACATGTTGTTCGTGAACATTTTTGTAAAATACGTTCGTGTTTCGAGTATACTGTATAATATGTACTATATTATTATATACAATTGTTATTATTATCATTATTATTAGGTATGTAGATAATGTTCTTTAAACAGAATTGAACATACATTTACACATTTCTCTTGTTTCTTGTTTAATATAAAAAAAACCCGTAATAAACTCGCGTATTCGTATTATATAGGTACATAATATTATAATTGACATAAAATTACGTTAATCACTCGAATTGTAATTTGTAATGTATTTCAAAATGTATACTTATCCCACGATGGCGCGAATTTATAACAGATTGCAGGAAACATCTTGTGGATTATAAAGACGACAATATATCCGTCCACGAGCAATACCATTACATTATAATATGTGTTTTTATTGGCAATACCTCATCCTTCACAGTTTACTCTAATAACTCTTTAAGGAATTACTGCTATAATAATTTATAATAGTCCTATAATCCTGTACGAAACAACGAAATGTATGATACCTATCCTACATTTTAAACGATTATTTGTTGAAGGTAATTCAAATCTATCGTTGTTTCAAAAATACCATAAAACCATATGTAAGTAATAAGTATGTAACTGAATTGTATAAAGAATATAAAATGTGAATCATAAAAAAAGACAAATGTTTAGGTAACATTTGGATTACTTAATTAATTCGTTTTGTATAGGTACCAACATACCTAGTAAGTAAATTAAATAGACATTTTATATTATGTTCGCCTAACAAAGACAAAACTTAGTTACCTAAAAAGTTTGAACCATTTGAAGCATCTACTGTTACTTGTATTATAAATATTAATATATTATAATAAACTGTAAACTATATGTTTAAGATCCATATTTAAGTAATCATTATGATTTATGACTATAAACTTCAATATTCCAACAATTAAAAAAAAATCAGTTAATTTTTTACATTTTATTCTCTTTTTTCAAAACGATTTCAATTCAAGAACTCAATAAAAATAAGTTTACCTATTGATCACTAGAGAACTCTTAAATCGGTTTAGAATAACTAAATTACTCATTCATTTTTAAATCACTCTCCTGAAAAAAGTAGGTACTGTGTTGTTACAGTTGTTGAAATCTTATTATCTTAAACCAAATAGTCGAATAGATGTCTATAATAGATCTTGCGTTTTTGAGTTATCTCGAGGCGGTTTTTCTCTTTAATAAAAATAAACAGGTAAATAAATATTGGTAGCTTACAAGTTAGTTAAGGTCAAAAATATGGTTCCAAAACCAAAACTGAAAACACACTAGGTATTAGAATAATTTATTATATACTATATAAATGAAACTTTCAATATGGTATATAAATATGAGGTGGTTTTTGTGATGCACTGAATACTGATGCCATAATCTAAATGCACTAATAGCTAACCAAAATAATATATTTTCGGAATTTGTTTAAATAAATGTATTCTTAAAGGATATACAAATTACAATTATTAAGGATTTGATGTCTAACTAATAAGTTACCAGTATGTTACTATTCAACACAATTTAAAAATTTGTGATCACACATCATTAAGTTATTAAGTTTAACAAAAAATAGTGTACATTGCCCTTAGTGTAAGTTAACTAAACAAAAAAACAACAAGGCTGTATTATGTTGACTCACAATTAAAATAGAATAAACATATAGAATATTTAGTGATGTTAAAATAATTTTGTTTACATCTTCTGAAACCTTAGATCCATCTTGATAAGAAAAACTTATTTTGAAGAATTTAATTAGAAAAATAATATATATTTCACTAGTTCAATAATTTATCACTTATGATAGGTATTGAGAGCTTGGGATGTGCATATGATAACTAATCATTTAAGTAAATTAAGAATAACTATAAATAAAATAATTTATTACATTTATATTAAAGTTACCATAGCATTCAAGTTCTGATGCCATTTTTAGAGAATTAAATGCATTAAATTTTGATAAGTTAGGTATTTTTAATATATTTATTATTAGTTACATGTACTAAACAGAGAAACATTATCCCAATATGTATGCATAATTTCAATACTAGATTAAAAAAATAATGTAACTATAATGTTTAAATGTCATCAATCTTTTGGTTTCAAAAGTTCATTGAATACCGCTATTGGCGCTATTATAATAGGTACCTATATAAAGATGATTTGTTTGTAAAAAAAAAAGAGAATTGAGAAATTATGATTTTCTTATTGAATAGGTATGCCAATAAATCTTTTGGTCAGTCTTTTGTAAATTTTTTGGCACCAATATTTTTCAATGATATGCGCCTATTGAACTAAAAAAAAAAATTAAGGTGATACTATGAATGTTAAATGCATAATATATAAATATTTATTTATAGAATTGAAAAAGAGTGTCAGTTAATGTTTAAAATGTCTGTTTTGGTTATTTTTTAGATGTCAAGTTATATTAAGTATATGTTATGTTCATCTATTGCTAATATTTATCTAATTATTTTAATATTTAATATTTAGTAATAATAATAACTCCCCATCTCACAAGCTGCGAAGCTGAAATGAGATAAGTCAATCCAAATTGTAATTAATGAATATCTAATAAGTAAATACAATGTGTTGATTTTCTGAAGAAAAAAGAATTATATGATAAAGTAGATGATTATTTTAAGATTAGCTATAGAATAGCAGACACAGCATCCCCTAAATATCTAATACTCAATAGTCAGTTACCTACTTGGGCATTAACATTAAATTATTACTATAGTTTAGTTCGCAGTTTTTATCTTAAAAGCTTATCTTTAACTATATTATTGAATTTATTTAACTACCTACTTTTAATATATTAATTAATAACTATAAAGCATAGTAAATATGAGTATCATAGAAAAAAAATTACAAGCTAACCATTTTCATATAATCAGTAGTTAGAACAACTAAATCACTTGTTCAAATATTACCTATATATATTACTATTAACTATTGTCTATTGATTTATGACTAATGCAAATAATGTTATTTGTTTCACTATGAAGTATAATTTCAATGTTATATGTAGCTACTAGCTACTAGCTATTTTATTATTATTATTTTTTTTTTTAAAAGTCATCATAATGTAAATAGTGAATGGATACAATGATCAGTTTTTGGTATTTAAATATTTAATTTATGATGTTACACTTAACTTAAATTAAGTAGGTATCATTATCTGTTTGAAATGTTCATAGAGTATCGACAGTACAGATAGGTAGTATAATAGGTAATAAAGATAGTACTAGAATTTAATTTATCATACCCTGCAATAATTAATTACAGAGATAGTAAATAAGTTTAAATAGATTGACCTCTTTAATATTCTTTATTTTTTTTTTTTTTGTCTTAAGCTCGGCAACTTAGGCCATTAGCTGTTTGTAGGGGAGGGTGGTTACTTTGTATATGTGTTTGTGTATGTGGCACTGCGTTACACCAAGACTAAGCCACTAATATTATTATACTAGCTGAGTATTAACTTACATTAAGTTTTCTACAATTGGTTTTACATTTTTTTAAATTTTATTTTTAAACATACCTAGTACCTATAATGAGTATTATTTTCAGTTTCATTGTCTTAGTAACTAATATTGTATATACTATATTACTTTATGAATAGAAACTACTTTTTAATGGCAGGTTTATTATCAAATAGGTACCTAATCAAAAATATCAACAAATTCTTGTGAATCTTAAAAAAGTACTTATAATATAACCGTTACAATTATTGAATACGTTAAAAACTTAACCCGGGTAATTATAATATTTCACAACTGTCTTTTATTTCAGCTTACCTTGTATTATTATTATTTCTAAAATAAAACTAAAAAAAATTGAATTACCTATAGGTATGTTTATAAAAAGTAGGTACCAATAATACCAATACAAAAAACCCTACCTATATAACAAGTCCATTACAAAACAATGAAAAACTCATACAAACATTATTATAATATTTTAGACTTATGTCTTACAATATAATTGTCAATTTTTTCAGCAAAACTATACAATAGATTTATAGGTACCTACCTACCTACTTATATTGTTACCTATTCAATTATTCATGTACAGCAATAATATTATGATAAACTAAACTAATGGACTATATATAAAAAATATTACTACATATTACATAATATCTTCTAAAAGTACTAGCGGTTAGTGGACGATCGTTGACCGCTGCTGATGCCGCCGTCAATACCGTCTCTGCCGCCACCAATACCGCTGCTTTCGTCACCACTATCATTGCCGCCGCTATCAACACCACCGCCGGTACCACGACCGCCTCTGGCCACGACCGATGACTTCACGGCCACCGCTGCCACCACGACGAATGCTGCCAGCACGATGAATGCTGCGACCACCGAGAACAGCTGTGTCTAAGATCATCCATCCTGCGTATCTTTATGTACAAATGTTCAAAAGTGTGAAGATGGATATCGTACACGAACTTCGAGCAACAGAACACAACGTTGCAGGACTGGCAGTAGAACTTACAGTCCGTGTTTAAACATAAGCAGCAGTCGTTGGTTGTGTCCGTGGGTGCTCTATAATAGTTTCTGCAGAGAACGCACGCGTACTTAAGGGTTCCACGGCCGTTATCCAGGTAATCTATAAATAGCTTACGCATAAGTCCCGGCATCGCCGGTAAGTTTACATCACTTTTTGAAGACATGTAACGGAAGCTGTCGGTGCATGTATATGCGTGTCTGATGATTCTGAACCACGGCGAGTACAACAACGTCTTACAAGTCTTGCAGAAATAAGACATGTATTGATCAAACCAGTTTTTCCTTACATTGTGGTGTTTCGAGGCCACGTGAACGTAGAAATTCGGTAACCAGCCCCGGATACTGCAACTATGGCAATCAAACCAACTATTATTTAGCTGTAATAGATGTGACGCTTGACATGTATTTGCCGTGAGTTGTTCACCAAACGGATTCAAAACGTCATACCTGGAGCAGAAGCGGATACCCTGCGATCCTTGTCTTACATATCCCATTAACATATCCGACCTTTGCACCTCATAATTTACCATGGTTAGCGGTGGCAGCGGTGGTAGCGGTGGTAGCGGTGGTAGCGGTGGCAGCGGTGGTAACTGGGGACGAACCGTCATGGAAGACATTAGAGGCAGGACCGATGACGATACTGCAGGTGTACTGTGCGAATCTGTCGACCTCGTAGACGTCGATGGTGTAGGACTATTATTCGTCCAAGTCGGCCACGTGGACGTCGATATCTTAGAAATATCATTCGTCCACGCGGACGTCGTTGGTATTCTAACAGTTTTCATCCATGTCAGAAACGTTGACGTCGATGATCCATTCACCGACATCTGGCAGATAGTAGATGGTCCATTTATTG